TCTAGGATCAGTTTCGTGGATTGACCACTGTTACAGATGTTTTGGATCTTCCTGAGCACGCTCCCATGGCCATCCAGGTCCGTGTTTATGTCATGAATCCAAATTCTTTCTTATATCACAGTTCCTAATGTTTTCGAAAAAACCGCGGAGCTTTAGGATCAGTTCCGTGGATTGACCAATTTTACGGATGTTCCGAATCTTCCGGAGGACGGTTTCGTTGTCTCCGGGATCCATATATAGGAACCATGACTGTGTTCTGGCTAATTATGAACAGTTGTGCCCATTAATCTAATTTATGGATCTTAGGCCACTTGCAAAACCCCTGAACACTCCTTTAAAAAACGTGTAGACGACCCTATTCTTAATCTTTTTACCATCAAAATAATTTACAGATCCTAGGAATTCTAGAAGTACCACAATTTTTTTAATTAGTCAAGAAATGGCTAAGTTATGCTATTGCAAACTTGCCGTTACACGTTTTTCGGAGGCATCGTATTCGGAGTGTTAAGGGGCTTTGCATGATTTTATTTTTTTGTCGGACACATACATTCTATATCTGAACATCAATCAGATGTGTCAGATTTACTGCCATTTTTCCACCAAGGAGAGTTAAGAACATGTTTGAAACAATAAGTGATGATTTTCTGGAGAAGTTAATGCTTACTCGACATGATATAAGCGATATAATAGATTTTTTGAATCGTTAATTGATTATTCGAATAAACATCGGACACCACTAGATGAATGTGAAAAGTTTCTGTTTCTTTGGATCAAGTATCCGATAGCTCGAAGTTTGTTGGATTATCCGATGCGGATTAGGCGTCCGATAGGCGATCAACGAGTGGATGCATATTTCTGCTACAAGGTGTAGCAGTATCCTGGTGCTGTAGACAGCATACAACCGTGTCCTGTTCAACCTATGTAGCGGAGTACATGGCTTTGTCTCTGCGATACAAGAGGCGTCATGGTGGCTAGGAATGGTGTCGCAGTTCGGTAGAGGACTCGGTCGAATTGCGGTGTGACTACCAGAGTACGATTTGTATCGCACGGAACGGTAGATACACACCCCGAACGAAGTAAATCGATATCCGACACCATCACAAGATGCGCTGGATAGAAAAATTGTTATGAAGTCCGATTCAAAGTAAATTTGGGCGCGTTCAAGTGATCATAACTCAAGAATTAAACAACATACACGGTTGATCAAAACGTCTAACAAAAGGGTATTTATTCAGCTTTCAAACGATATATAACAAGTTATTACATTTCACCGTTTCGAACGAACTGTAGCACTTTACTTGTGATCGATGCCATCATCATCTGCACAGTCGCTGGTTGCACTGTACCGGCGAACTTATTTCACTTTAAACGCATTTGTTGTGCATTTTTCACTTCTTTACCGCATCCTTGAAGTTTTCACTTGACAATTGCCCAATATTTTTCGATCGGTCTGAACTCAGGGCAATTCGGAGGATTAATCTTTTTGGCGACAAAAATAACATTGTTTGCAGCATACCATTCTAGTACCTCCTTAGAGTAGTGACAACTGGCTAAATCTGGCCAAAACATAACGTTGGTCTTGTATTGCCGAATGAAGGGTAAAATTCGCTTTTTTAGACACTCTTTAATGTAAACCTTCGACGTCATTTTGCGAGATGTGATGAAAACCTTGTTTTTAAGGCCACAACTGCAGATTCCTTGCCAAATCATTAGTTTCCGAGCAAACTTATCAGCAAAAACTCGTTCGTATAGTAATCGTACTCGCTTTTTGGCCACTAAATTTTGTTTCAACGAGCGATTCGGATGTTTACTGGCACAAAAAGACTTATATCCTTCTCTTGAAAGGATGTTACGCACGGTGGAAAAGTTGGAATCGTATTTCTTTGCCAAATCACGTATGGAGATACCTGGGTTGATTTTCACGTACTTCAACACCTTGCTCCTAAGCTCTTTGTCCCTAGTGCCACTTTTATGATAGATGCGCTGTGCTCTATCCACACTCAAAGTATCCTTGTAACGTTTGATTACAAGACTCACCGTTGGCTTTAGGAATTTTAACGCTTTTTTTCTATTTTTAAGGCAGACCACGAAGGGTTCTCTAGATGTTTGTGCACTATTAATTTTCTTTTCTCAAGTTCCATGATCCGTAATTTCTGGATGCGCCGATCAATCGAGAAAAACTTTTCACCAATTTCTTCGTCAATGAAACATCAACAAATGCCTGTCAAACGTTTTTTGTTCCAACCACCAGGGGCGCGGTGGTGTATTAAACCGTGCGTCCAGATTTACTTTGAATCCAGCTTTACGTTAAGACTAGCAAGTTGCAGATGGCTTAAGAAAACCAATTCACCGAGTCAAGCTTGAACGAAACCGAAGAGCAATGGGTTTGCTTAACTGAATTCGAAAGCTTAAAAAGGAGTGTTGAACAGTAAGCCACAATTTACATTGTAGGCTACCCGAGCAAAGTCCAGCATCAAAATGAAAGCAAATTGAAATTAAGTTTTGATATCAACATCAAACTGAAATCATAATTTGATAAAAGTATACGCAATTGACAAATTTGATGTCTAATTTTGTTTTCATTTTGCTGTACATTTCCTCTTCAAAAATATGTTGTTGCGGGTTTGTTTTTATTGCCTTAGCATAACATCAACTTGAATACTTGTTTTGTTATCAACAGGAAAAATGGATATCAAATTTAGTTTTCAGTTTGCTCTCACTGATAGCAGAAATAGTTTTCAATGTAATGTCACAGGAAGATTTGTTTGCTCTCAATTTTGATTTTTTTTTAACCATTAAAACGACCAAAACGACAGCAACCTGAGTAATTATTATCAGCGAAATCACAACATCAAATTTAGATTTCAATTTGATCTCAGACTTTGCTCGGGTAGTGTTTAATTAATAATGAATAAACGTTCACTTTTCTTCCAACCGTCAACCGAACTAGACGTTCTTATTACGCACTCCCAATAAATACTCTCGAACAGAGCAGCAAGAGTGGTGTGTACTCGATCACTTTCAATGTTCAAGGTATTTTTTCTTAAAAAATATAGATTGTCTTGCCTATCACTGCCGCTCACAAGTTGGCGCCATTTTTCTAGAAGAGCGGAATCAGTCTTTTAGGGCTGGAAAGCGCTTCAGAGCGTGTGCAAAGCAACTTTGCACATGCTTCGTACAGCAAGATGAGTTCAGTTTCGAACCTCTTCGGATACGGTTGTGTTTTAAGTTTGCTCTCTGTTTTGTGAGTGCGATGGCTTTCGTAGTTTTCGGCTGCCTTTGCCTGATTAGCGCTGGCACTGCCTTTATACGTGTGTGATGGTAGTTTTCTCGTGATTCACCATGCTTGCAAGCATCAGAAGAGATATCGTTATCTGCGTTGTTTGTTTTTTTTCTTCGCTTGTGCTCCCGGAACAGAAATTTACTTTAAACAGGATTGGAATTTAAATTTAGCAGCTCGGCTAACTTGGCGGCTACCGCTTTTGCTTACTGAGTAGAAGATCGTGGGTTTACTCCCAAGCTCCTCGAGAACAAAACAATTACTATGGTCGCATCGCCTACTTAAGCGAGTCCTGACCCATCGCTTACCAAACTATCCAACTCCGTTGCATTTATGGGGGCGTCGGTGAGTCGCTCGCCTCCCGTTAAGTAGATGTTGCATCAGCAATATCCTTCCTTTCCCCGTAACGGAGAAGATGGGTGTGGCCGACAATGGTAATTGTCATGCTTTTCCTGTTCTGAACTTTGATTGAAGAACTTTAGAAGTCTCTTTAGTTCTGAGTATGGCGATGAGTGTGCAAAATATTACGCAATTCCATCCTCCCTATTCGCACGCGCCCGAGGATCGGAGGCGAATGCCATTTCGACTTGTTTCGTCTACTTACTTCTCTCTGACGACTGTGCTGGGGAAGCAGCATATGCATGTAGGTAATTGGTGGTGGTGTTAGTTAATTCGACGCTTTTGGACAATGCTGGACATTTACTAGTTTTTCAATAGTTTTTTTTGTTAAAAATCAACATTCGGAAGCATTTTTATCGATGCGTAGCCATATTTTTGATCGATTGGTGATAAAATTATTGAAATTGGACCAGGGGCAGCTGAGTTATTAACGTTCAAAATCTTTCTTAATTTGTTACATGTTACATTTTCGGTTTTCACAAAGTGTACCCCCATATAGAAATCAAAGACGTAGTCCTACGTCAAAATACAGACAGAAGGACACAAATGCCTTATCTTTGCTGTGAATTTCGCGAATCAACACGAGGAGCATTTCTTATAGAAGTCGGAGCCGTCGGAGCGACAGCTACACATTGAGTTTTTACTATTTCTGGGTGTATGTCTTTCTTCTCTTCTCCGTTGCTTTACACTTACGCATGGTGAAAGACAATAGCAAACTTTGTGTTTGCTTGGTTCTAACTTAGTTGATTTAAGAAAATCAGCGCATTGACACATATGACAGCTCTGTAAAATTGTTATTCAGTCCGAGACTGTTCGAAAACAAGTTCAAACAGTTGAATATGCTTGGATCGCTTCACCGAGATTGTTCAACTGCATAGTTTCAATAAAGTACTGCTTCCTAATTCTAATGCATTTCAATCAGTATAAATCCACCCACCTTGTTCACGATGAAATGTCAACTTAATCATTAATACACCAATTGCAACTTGCTTATCTCCACCAGTGATAAGAAAGGTAACCCTATTAGCGTATGTCGGTATGGGATATATTACCGCGGCTCTTTATCGATTATCGCAACGTCACCATATTAAAAGCCACCAAAATAGAATCAAAACATCGCAGAGAGAACCTCCAAACGTAAGCGAAACATAAAAACGCTTATTCGCTCATTCACTATTTCTCATGTTCAGTGTATTCTGATACGGGCACACACCTTGACGACAGAAGAACCAAGCCTATTCCGTAAACTTTACCGCAAATGCACCAAACGACAATGAAAACAACACCAATTATGCTGATGAAACCATATTAAAATACTCACTCGTGCATCAATAGTTTCACTAATCTTGTTATACAACAAGCTTTCGAGTTCAATGGAACTTTCAGCCGTCGGTACTATTTTCATAGAACGAAACCTAATACTTCTAGTTTCGATGCAAGCTCCGGTCTAGTCATTTCTTTTCTAGCCAACCCGGCAAACAATCACACGTGTACTAAATCGAAATGTCAGGTTTCACTATTATCAGAACACGAGTTTCTCGATAACGATTTCGATGTTCACAGTTATACGTTTTCTTGTTATCTTATCACAATACATCAGGTTGCAACATAGTTATGCACTATTTGTCTACTAAAATCATCGAAACAATCTTCCACTTCGAAAGGCTCTATGGTACTACACTGGATAGATCCTCACTTACGCTAGCAACGTGGACATTTAAATGTTTTGGCCCCTCTACGACCGTTGTTGTGATGCACATACATATTGTAGACTTTACTATTATGCGATGAAAGCCCTTTCAGTGCTACTTACCACCTTCCGCTAGCTAGATCGACGACGGCGACGAAGGCGCACATGCCATGATGGCGCTAGATTTATTTATTTGGCGCGCAAAGTCGTGTGTCCGTAGAGAGAGACTGATGCAACATTCGCAACCGATTTAGTCATCTTTCCCGGCGCAAAAGTGCACTAAATTGGCTGAGAATGCCAATTCTCCCCGCTTCAGGGATATTTAAGGATGACTACCGATAACCGTCCAATCACGTTGCGTATAAGCAAACAGTTCAGAGAGGCTACAAAAGTTCAAATTATTTAACCGAAATATCACTGTAGCTATACGGTCTTCGAGAGATGATCTGTCGCGAGATATAGTCGGATCGAAACTGCTGTCGCTAGGTTGGTTGACACCACATAGTAAGATTTCTGAGAATGACAGTTTGAGTATGGCTAGGTGTCCGCAGACGCCGGTCAATGTGGTGTCGGTGAACGACTAGCGTAGGTGATTGAATTCAATCAAGTTGTGAGTTAATTTGATCACAAAGCGTGTAAATTTGCACTATCTACTCACAGCAACAGTTTGTAGTATGCTGAGAATGTTGACGGTCGGGGTGCAAATACCGTTATGGTGTGATTTTGAAAAAGAAAAAGAAAATGATAGATGCTAAAATTTTGCATCATATCAAATGGCATATGCAAGAAAAATTCAGCATGAATTTATTATATCCTCTACATTCTCTTCTTCTTCTTCTTCTTCGCATTTCAAGCTTATTGCATATCGCATATTAGCTTATTGCGTGCTCTCAACTTAGTGTTCTAGATGCACTTCCACAGTTATTAATTGAGAGCTTTCGATGCCTGTACCATTTTTGCATTGGTATAATTGTGTGGCAAGTCCAATCATACTTCTATGCCCAGGGAAGTCGAGAAATTTTTCAACCCGAAAAATTCCTAGACCGGATCGGGAATTGAACCCAGCCACCTCCAGCATGGTCTTGCTTTGTAGCTGCGCCTTTACCAACTGAGCTAAGGGAGGCGGAAGATCTTGTGCAAAACATATTGTCACTCTCTGTAGCATCTTGCAGCAGGTCAACAAATTTCTAGAGTCCATATACTCTGGTATGTTTTTATTATTATTTAACGGCGGTATCTGTTACGCAATCGAATACTAGCGTCAATTACAAACCAGTGATTAATTACGAACGGAAATCGAGTGCCATGAAGACGTGATCAGAGATTTTTTTCACCTCAGAAAAATCTAACTACCTCGGCTGGGATTGACCCCATACACACTGGGTTGAGAAAGCAATCATAGGGGAAAGTTTCTCCTAAAGTCTGGAACGCGCAAAAATTGGTGTATTTCTGTTAAAAATGCATAAAACCTGAAACGCTGCATTTGGAAGTTGAGTGTATATACAATGTTTGCTCTTCAGCTTCCGGGACAGGAGTTTTATACCTCATCAGGAAGAGGGAAGGTGGCTGAAATTTTCAAAACCATCAAACTATCGAAGTTCCCGAAAATATATCTCGTCTGGCAGGCCATATACACGTGTGATCTAAAATGCGGCATTTTCATTACTACGGGAACCATCAATCAAGAAATCTACGTCCAGGAGTGCCTGGAAAAGCGGCTGCTACCATTCCTAAAGCAACATAATAGACCTGTGCTGTTCTGACCGGACTTGGTGAGCTGCCACTATGGGAAAAAGGCAATCGAGTGGTACGATGCGAACAACGTGGTTGTGGTAACCAAAGACCACAACCCTCCAAAATAGCCCAGAACTCCGGCCTATCGAACGGTATTGGGCCTTGGTCAAACGGAATCTCAAATAACTAATAAATCCATGGAAAACGAGCAGCAGTTTAAATCTAACTGGCGTTCGGCGGCGAATAAAGTCGATGAGACCACTGTGCAAAATTCAATGGAAGGGGTTAAGCGGAAGGCACGGCAGTTCGGATTTGGCAAACCAAAAGAATAAACGAACATTGTTTCCTTTAAATAGGGTTACGGTATGTAATGTGGGTCTAGTCCTTTCATTCGGCCTATCACGCAAATAAATAATTAATTAAGGAATATTACACAAAAAATAAGGAAAATATTGATCACTGATGATTGATAAATGTGTACCACACACAAATCAATTTATATCACAACATTTCAATACATTTTCAGCTCTCGTAAGTAATAAAACTGGTTGAGAATATCACTCTGTTCGGAGTTTTTAGCCGCCATGACTTCTAAGGTTAAGATGGGAAGGTTGCACTGACGATCATCAAATGGCCTGATTATGGCATTTATTGAATGGAATTACCTGATAATACACACTAGACGTAAAACTCACAGTTACTGTTTGAATATTTTATGTTTATTTTAATTGTTTAACAACGTTTTCACAAGTAAATCATGGACCCAACTTTAGGGACACATTTCTTTTCTATGTTCCTAACTTTGGCCCATGAAATTCATTTGACAGCATATAGCAATAAGAGTAACGTCAACAATGTGGTTTGCATTTGGATGATAAGGAACGAACAGGAAGGGAGATTTTTTCTGCCAAATCTGTATAATGAACATCACAATGTTTTGATTTAGATATTCTGCGGTCGAAAGACGATAAGCGAAATTTTTAATTTTTAATTTTTAACTTGAGTGATTTAATGTAGTTTTCGTAAAATTTTCTCTAAGAAATGTTTTGAGGAATGAAGAGTATTAAGTTAACAGTGATAGTGATAAAAAAAAATACATAAGAAAACGTTACCAAGAGCGTTTTTTTTGAGAATCAAACAGGATAGGACGAAGTTGCATCCATAAATAGACCCAATTTGGGGACAATAGACCGATATTACATACATTTCCCTGGTGAGTTTTTGTCTTAAAAAAAGTAAGTTTTTCAACTTTTTGCGGTTCCTGATAGCAAACGACATGATAAGCATATCTAAGCATACCATTTAGCAGTAGAATATCGTTTGCAGGTAAATTAATTGATGAGTTATGATTAAAAACGTAATCTATGGCTGCATATTAGACCGAGGTTAGGGACGTATACCCTATATGAATTGAACTACCAAAAGAAAAATAAGAATATTTTTCTGATATGAATTTGGACTGAAAGAAACGATTTTTTTGTCGACCAATTTTTGCGCGTTCCAGTCTTTACACCTGGTTTGCGTGGGTGGCCTCCGCTTTGTGAGGAAAGAGCTTTAGAACGGTTTGTTTACAAATTCTGATAGGCTCTTTTCTATTGTTAGTCCAGAATTTATGATTGTCGTGGTGAAATGAAATTACCCGCATAAACGCAAACCATAACTTGACCTTAAAAAAAATGGTTAAAACTGGTTTTTAAAACCCTGCTAAACTTTAACTGATATGGTTGAAGAACTTTACCAGGGTTTCCACTCAATGAAGAAAGCAAAATTCCCTGATATTCTCTGATTTCCCAGCAATTAAAAAAAAAATTTGGAGTGCCTACCCGTTTTTGGCAACACAACCCAATCAGCTATTACTTTCCTCAGATATATATTAGTGCTTTCTGGACATTTTTTCAAGAAATAACATATGGACCTTTAACTCTGTACAATTTCAAATTGAATAAAGCGTTCGATACATTTTATAGAATACAAAAAGGACAGAAATCGCGTTTTGCCAAATACGGGAGGGAACCGCATATTGTTTTACACACATTTTAAACGTGGTAAGCGCCAGATATGCAGTTCAAGCAGTAACCTATTCACTCACTGATACGAGAAGAGGTCTTTCGCATGGCAATTTTCTCACCCTTAGAAGTTCTTTTCTGACTGCCTCCGAACTCAACTAGGGGCATAAATTCATTCAGATCTCCTCCATCTTCATGGTGAGCCGCAAATCTCCATTAACAATTTCCCGGTTTTTCCCGTTTTCCAGGAATTTTTAAAAATTTCCTGGTTTAGCGATATACATTAGAATTAAGCATAAAACTGAATGCGATTGAGCCGACGGTTAAATGGGTCATTTCTAAGCCAGCAGCACCTTTGCTGGATCTTGAATTTGTTTCTGTAATACGGAAACGTTCGAAGTCTTCGCTCAAAACTGTACAGGCTTTGATTGAGAGTTCTTTTCAGAATACTTCTTTCTTCTTTCTCTGGAAGTCTCTTGAAAATGTATTTATAACAGTTCAGAAATTTTCTGTAGAACACTTCAAAAAATTCTTAAAATTCGTTTTACAATCTGTTTGAAATTCTCCGTAGATTTTTTTCCTTGTTTTGTTTTCCGTCGATCTTGTTTTCCGTACTGAGTACCAATGCTTCAACGCCAGGAACCCAGCCTCCACCCACAGTTGGACCCTACCTATAGACCCATCAACTCATCAACCCATCAACGGCTTCACTTCCCTTTCGAAGGAAGGCGTGATCAGAAATGTTATGCCTCAGAAAATCCCGGCGGCGCCGACTGGGATTGAACCCAGGCCCTTTTGGGTGAAAGGAAATCACGCTTACCACTACACCCAAGCAGTTCTAGAGTAACATTTGAAATGGGCCTATGTCCAAAACAAACAAACCAGAAAATGAATTTTAAATTTTTCTGCCACTATTCAATTCATATTTAAGAAAACTGAAGTATTTTAGGCATTTATATTGTCCACAATAACAAAAGTAACTGTATCTCAGTATACAACATCCAAAATATGCGAAAAGTTTTCAAAAATATAAGAAAATCGATAACAATTTAATTTTAAAAATTAATAAGCCTTTTTGTGAATCTTTCAATGGATAGGCCCTTTTTGTTAAACCATTGTGCGTGTCATCAGAAATGGTACGCCCTTTGCTAAGCCTTTTCGCAACGTCAAATAAAATCAAAACAAATCATCGGCCCTGTCTCAAGCAGTATAGGGCCTAGCTTTGGTTTGAAATGTTTCAATCATCGGCCCTTCTACACCGAAAATAGTTTTCATGTAGCTTCCATTGGAATCGCAAATGATTTTCATCCATAAACAAAATTAATGGAATTCATCTTAATTTCACATAACATTTATGCGATCACGTTAATTTTATATGATTTTTTATATGAATTTTATCGGCCTCATAATATTCATGTGATTTTGTGGTGAGATTTTTAGCTATGTGATCACATGAAAGCTATGTGAAATTCACATGGTTTTCATCCATTAGATATGTTATAAATTTTTTGAGTGTACGTCACTAGGCTATCAATGAAATGAAATAAATGAATGGCTGGCCGTTTTAGCGTGTGGGCCTATTTGAATCGAAAGAATTCGTTGATCGGCCGTCTCGAAAATCGAGTTATTTTTAATGATTTTTCTCGATTATGCGGAACTTTTCTACACGATTAGTAGCTATCAAGCGTTGCTGAAGAATGGTATCAAAACCCGATTTGTTTACGTTTTGGACATAGGCCCATTTTAAATGTTACTCGAGAATTCACCTCAGATACACCTCAGGCCCATTTTAAATGTTACTCGAGAATTCACCTCAGATACTCGACCAACAATTGAAAAGGGCCTACTAGCTTTTATGAGCAAAACTAGTAATCCCCCTTCCCTGCCAACACCATCGAGCAGGGAAAATTCTGCCGCCGAGAACTGTCTTCAAATTTTGCTCAGAATTATCTTTACGGCAGCTACGGTTATGTACCTCGATAGTACTGTACCAGGGAGGCAACTTTAAAATCATCTTCAGAACTTTGTTCTGAATCCTTTGAAGTGCTTTTTTTCCTGGTCGTGCAACAACCAGACCATATTGGCACAACGTAAAGCATGGTCGGTCTAAAAACTTGTTTAAATATTAGAAGTTTATTCGTCAAGCAATGTTTGGATTTCCTGTTTATAAGAGGATATAAACATTTTATATATTTGTTACATTTGACTTGAATTCCCTCAATGTGATCTTTAAAAGTCTGCTGCAAATAACACGAAGACTTCTTCCTGTAGCGGAAATACCTGTGTCATCAGCGAACAAAGATTTGTGGCAACCCTGAGGCAAATCAGGGAGGTCCAAAGTAAAAATGTTATACAATATAGGCCCAAGGATGCTACCCATGTAGTCGTTTAGATTTGGAATTTTGATAATTTACCTGCAGAGTTCGGTCAGTTAAATAATTTTGAACTAATTTCATACTATAGAGTGGAAAATTAAACTTTTTCAATTTAGCCATCAAACCTTCATGCCAAACACTGTCGATTGCTTTTTCTATGTCTAGAAGAGCAACTCCAGTAGAGCAGCCTTCAGATTTGTTTGAACGAATTAAATTGGTAACTCTTAAGAGTTGATGAGTAGTTGAATGCCCATGGCGAAATCCAAACTGCTCATCTGCAAAAATTGAGCTCGTATTGATGTGAAGCATCATTCTATTTAAAATTATCTTTTCAAAAAGTTTACTTATTGAAGAAAGCAAACTTATTGGACGGTAGCTAGAAGCTTCAGCTGGATATTTATCCGGCTTCAAACTTGGAACAAATTTTGCATTTTTCTATTTATCAGGAATGCAACTTTGCCTTAATTTAGACTCATAGTCATTGGGAAGCCACCCTTAGCTCACTTGGTAAAGGCACAGGTCCAAAGCAAGACCATGCTGGAGGTGGATTCCATTCCCGACCCGGCCTAGGATTTTTTCGGGTTGGAACATTTCTCGATTTCCCTGGGCATAGAGTACACGGCGAATGAGAACGACCTAAGTTTGAGTTTAGTTCACTCATAATCACCAAAAGTGCATGAACTCAGCGAAAATTTTACTCAGTCTAGGAGCAGTACCAATAGACAGACTAAATGAATCCAATATTTACTTTTGTCATATTCGGGAGGTTTTTCCTGGACAAACCAGGAAATATCTGGAAACAGGCAAATTCACTCATCGGTGAGTTCCTGTACTTTATGTGATTTATGAGTTACTTACCTTACCAATCAGGCTAAGGTAAGGCCTTGTTGTCCTCTCCTGTCTGAAGAAGTCGTCTCCACGCTACTCGATCCATGGCCACAGAATGCTTCTTTCTCGTCGTCCAGTTCCCTTCGTGTGGGCAGTGCACGTTGATGATGCTGCAGTTAAAGAAACGGCCCTTAATCCTCAACTTGCACATCATCGCGTTGATCGGCTGCCAACCAGTCACGCGGCACATCTCACCCAGCACTACAAAGCCGGTTCCCAGCTCGTTGGTGGTGCCACAGCTCTGGTAGAAAGTAGCCGCTCGATGCCAGCTTTTCCATACCTTTTGTCCCGTCTAGCAAAGTTCCTGCAGTGCTACGACTTCGAAGTTCCGAGTTTCCAATCGTAGGCCTTATTTTGTCGCGTAGGTCCGTGCCAATTGTTCCGATCCGTATTTCTTTCTTCGGTATTTGCAACTTTATGTTTTGTTTCAGGGCGGCTTGTTGGGTCTGCCCCAACCCCCTGTCTCGCCGGAGCATCGTGCGCAACTCTGTTTAAAGTCCCACGCTGGCACTAGGACGGTGATCAGCCGCTCCTAACATGGAGAACATACACCGTTTTGAGCAACACCTCTATGGTGAACAGACGCTCGCTCGGGTTTGGTGAAGCATTTCCTCTATCACCGTACTATGATTCACGTCGCACCTCTTCACTTTGCTATTGCCGGACTGGCAACATTGCCAAGGCTACGCGACCCAGCTGTGCCCATGTTTCAGCTGGTAATCTTTTGTTATCATATGACTCGGGTAGGCGTGAAGTAGGAACTTGTGAAAATTTGTATGCAGGGGTTTTTGGGACCGGGAATGGTTCTTATGATGGTTCGAGACCCCTCCCCCTTCTCCCATACAAATGAAAGACATTTCTGCATAACTATTCTATTAAATTTTCGTTCATTTAGTTGCAAGCGTAGCAACGCTCGTACAGGGTTCAGCTAGTATAAATTAAGTATAAATTCTACGGATTGGATTGCCGAAAAACTTCAAGGAAATCAAGTTCAACGATTGTTTGAGCTAGCTCATTGGTTATTGTCATAATAAGCATAGTATTGTATAGTATAGTATAATAAGTAGTACTGTAAAGAGAAAATCGACGAAGATAATCGCAGTAAGGCCCTTATGATTCTGAACGCTAGAATATATTGGGAAGAACGCCAAGGAAATATTGCCGTTACAGCTGAAAACTGAAAAACTTACTTGCAAAAATCGAATATACTCTCGTGCTATACGCTATACATAGCTCAGACAAACAGACGTAACTCTTTAAATACATTTTGCTTAACTATATCGTCATGGAACTCACTAACAGCATATCGGGAGCTATTCACGGAAAAACGCTTGCTTGTCAATTTTCAAGCGTTGCATACAAGTTCGATAGAATGTATAGAATATATAGAATGAATTTTAAGCTAGTTTGAAGATAGTTTCAAGGAAATTCCTATAGGGTAGATGTACCAGTTATGACTGTACGTTCCTATTATGGTGTGTTTATGAAATGGGAATTCCATAGGCCATAACTGAAACACACCATAATAAGAACGTATGGCCATAGCTGGTACACCTACCCTAATTGGAACTTCATAGAATTTGTGATAGGAATCGAAACTGGGAAACGCGTAGGGAATTTAGAGCAAATTTCCGTAGAATTCTGATTAGCATTCCAGGGAGATTTGGAAGAAAATTGCAAGCGAATTCCGAAAAGATTCACAAGAAAATAGAATTTTCAGAATTGCTCCAAAAAAAATCTAAGGAGGGTTTCAAATGTATTCCGAAGAGAATTCCAAGGAAATTCCAACAGATTCTCTCTAGTGCATTTTGAGAAGAATTTGATTTTAAGAGCAAATTTCGTGTTGTTCCGTGGAATTCCGCGAAATGCATAACCTTAAATGGAACAGATGTTTACTCTGTGACAAACTCTTAATATACTACGATAAAACTTGCAGATTAATTACCTATATGTTTATTGATGTTAAGGGGGCTTACGATCCGATAAAAAGTACTTTCCGGCGAAGCTGCTTAGAAGCTCTTGTGTACGAATTGCAAATGACATTTCGAGCAGTGCCACACCTCCCAGTCACTTTGGTTCCTATAATTTTCTTTTCATAGCCGGTTACGCCGGTGGCGATTTGGTAGCAGTGTTGCGCTAAAAAAACTTGTTGGTATTTCCTTATGTTCTATGATGTTTCTCGTTCAAATCATCATGTGTGTTATTTTTACAAACCAACGTAAACTTTTACCACCATTTATAATAGCGTAGGTATACGTTATATGTTACGCAGTTGTGTTTGTGCTAAGGATGACCGTGAAATTCACATGCTGGCGCCAGTGAAAATCAAAAACGATCACTATTTTTAACTTTCACTAACCGCGTCATTTCTAAACATTCGAGTATGCTCACAGAAATAGGTGGAAGGGGTCGATGTAACCAGACGTAGGCATGACTAACTTCTACGCCATATAACGGAACGGAAATTTTATTATCACAACACACAGACGTAGGGGCTTTCTTTATATTCTACATTTCGCCATGTGTAGGTATCGCTTGGATTTGAATGCAAATATTTATTGAAACGATATAAAAACTTTAAACATGGTCAACGGTATACTTACCTAGCTCAATACGAAAATTATTCAGCGCTAGTAACGCCAGATTTCTTAAAGCCACCGGCAATTTCCTTAACGGTAGCAGTCAGCTCTTCCAATTGTTTAGTTATTCCTTCTACGTCGGGTTTACTGTCCGGAGTAGCGCCTTCGGTGCTTAGGAGTTTTAGTACTAAGTCTGTGATAAAAAAAAATAGGTTCAAAAATTGCTGCTACAAATTGTCATTCCACCTTACCGTGATAGTTCGTCAGTGTTTGTGCTTGTTCGGGATTGAGTTGCGGCTGCAAGAAGCTTAGTATAGACGAAACATGCCGCCCGGAAGCATGTAGCATACTCTGGGTGCAAATCGTGAAGATAATAAGTACAGCCAAGTGCAGAACCAGGGCCGGGTCCGTACAGTTTGCCAATTGTTCGAGCAACCCGTGTTTGTGACATAAAATTAGGTTCCTAGCAAATAAGAGATAATAAATTTATTAGTACCAATTGATACCGGTCTTCAATTGATTACTCCACGGGAGGGCAAAACTAAAATCGTTAACCGTCTTAATTGACGATAATTACCTATCCTTCTTCTTGTCGATCTTCTTCAGTATCATACTGCACGCTTGAAGGGCATTTTCTGCGACAACTAGGAAATCATCTATGGAAGCGCTGCTGGTGATGGCTTTATTCAACGCCTGCAGTGCCGGCTTATAGTCTTGACTACAGTCCTGAGCTATTTTATGCCGTTGCTCTACGGTTAAAGTCGTACCATTGCTGTTGAGATTGCATTCGGCAGCGATGTAGAAGCATATTTCGTTGCCAAAATCCGTACCAAGAGATTTTAGCAGATATTTCACCAGTTGTGGCTGTACGTCCGCCGGAAGCAGTTTGATGCCTTTCTCGTACAGGCGAATGTCATTGTAGAGATTGTTGAGCTTGTCCTGCAGGCTGGCATGCGTCTGGCGACGGTTCTGATTGGTTTGATGCAGCGATATTTCGTACAGCTGGTGGGCTTTTGCCAATGCTAGCTTGCTGAATTGTCTGCAAGTATATAGAAGAATTTCATAATTAAGTTTGACGTCTATGAAGCTATGAATAGAGCTAGGGAAAGCTTGGTAACTAGCTCGGTAATCAGTGCAGAGAGCTACAAAAAAGCTGCACAATGTTTGACGAGACAAAATTTTGAAAGATGTGGAACAATTTATTTGAAGCAATTTTACTGAAGTAACCTATTTTCTATATCTTATGATTCATGGCAAAGTATCGTCATGTGCAGCGCCTAATTACGCACTTTTTGCCAAAATTTTACAGTATACCGATTTTCCCTAAATTTATATTTTGATTAAATGAAAATAGCATATTAAACTACCATTCTAATTCATTATGGATCAAACCCCATATATACAACATATAGTTCTTATAATGAAAGTTATGAAAACTTTGTTATTGTTATTGTTATTGTGTCATGCTGGAGGGGGCATTGAGCCTGGTCGCCAGTGTAATTTTGGTGACCAATTATACACCTTCCATGCAGCAATCAGATAGATAAAGATGAGATGGCTCTTAGATAATGACTTATGCGAGTCGATTGAAATCAGCCGAATATTGAATGAGGGTTTAGGTGATCTTTAACATAGAAGCGTAGATGCATAGATGAAGGATAAGAGAAAGGAGAGAAAAAGGTATTGAAAAACAGAATTGGTAGAGAATGAGTGCTGATGAATATGCATTTATGTTTCATTTAGTTATAATGATTATCAATAATACTTATTGTATTATTGTATTGTATATAATCTAGTTATGATTATTGTCAATAATACTTACATTTTGATAAAGATGGTGCTGCCTACTTTACCTGTAATGTGATACTTATCATCACAGAGTCCAACCTTGAATAGCAGACCAGGTCCACTAACAAAACACTCGTTCCGAGAAGGGGTTTATGGTCTTCTTCTTCTTCTTCTTCAGGTTCGCTCACCACCCGGAATAAAGGCTCGGTGCGGTTAGTAATATCAAACAGTGTTACATGCAAACGAAAAAAAACGAAAAAGAGATACAACCAGGATTAGTTTTTTAAAGTAATAGTTTCATCTGAATACCCAACTAACCATATCTCAGTGACATTGTACCACTCTGAACCCACACCTAAAGCTATTTTGTGATTATATGGTTACTTTGGTATTCAGATGAAATGTTGTGCAAGTACCAGAAGTTCAACAACGCCCAACTATGGACAGCTCAATGTTAATACCATTTACTCTTTGAATCAGCTTACACCAACATGATAATCTACTAAGAAACATCTAAGAATGTATAGAGATAAAGTTCAAAAATACAGTTTTAACTGATGGTACTTTATAAACGTCAAACTGTCCAATATTGGACCCTGCCAACACACGGCGCCTGCACGGCAATGTGGGCCGTCAGAATGGTTCATCGGTTGCGAAGTGAAGTGCTTCTTAAACTGAAGCGATACATTTCTCAATGTTTCAACGTTATCCTAACGTAAACTTAATATTATCGCCCATATGCCTGTCCACGCCCGAAACCCATCCACCACACAAAATCAAATAAAAATGTTTCTGTATGGCAAACACGTCCAGACATAAACGAGAATATGTGTGTATATCTTCACTGTAACAACTACGAGTAATCATCGAAAATACTTGCATTTTACTCAGGCACTTTTGAGCTAACTGCAATCACTCTCTCATACTCAAAATGTGTTGATACCAAATTCAGTTCAAAATTCGAATGATTTTTGACCAAATTGATAGTTTCAACCCCTTTTACATCATGAATACAAATTGAATATTAAAAGTAAACCTTTATCAAAGAAGATTTAAAAAATGTTCGTTTTGTAACGGAAATAAAACCGTTGGGGTGAAATGAGCCTCTTATCGGGGTGATCTAAGCGCCCTAGTAAACAACCGGTAAGAATATTCTGTTTTCATGAGGACTTGAGAAGGGTCAACAATGAACAGTTTTAGTATTTAGATTTAAAAGAGACAATTATTTTCTGTAGAATAAATAAATTTAAGAAGTACTGCCTATTTAAGGTGATACGGCACGTCATGCAACAATGGCTGTCCCTAAAATCATTAAATAAACGTATTATGGTATGCGTACGAAAGGCATCTTCCTACAAAACAGTAAATTACTAATTACATACCTTAAAAATGGGCCTGAATTGTATGAATAAGATCTGGATACATATTTCTATACTTTGCCACCCAAATATTGCCAATTCATTCACTCATTGGTAATATTTACATTAAAAAGTACGATCAGCGGATTTAACTCTGCTCAGGGCATGAAATTTCAACAACTGTTTTCACTAGCTTTCACTTCTCAGAACCACACTAAAAACAATTACGACACGTGCTTCTACAAGTACTTTCAAGTTAATTCACTTTTAAAGACGATATTTACTTAAATAATATAATTTGCATCGTTAAAAACGCGAGCCGCGAATAATTTTGCAAATTGAAACTGTTTTGATTACCTTTTTTCTACACACCGCATTACGGAGGTGTGTGTAAGAATCATCTTTCATCGTATCCAGTGTTGTCGATTTAATTGAAACAAAGTGTGTAAAAACAATGTTTTTATTGCTTTTTAAGGTACTTAAACTGGGTGCAATTTAGAAACCATCACTAAAAAATGTTTAAAACAATTTCTTATTTTGTTTCTCAAGGCAAAAAAATGATAGTAAATGATCCTAGAAATCTTCTATAGAAAAAATATGTGTCGTTCTGGTTGCACTGCTCGAAGCCATCAGCTGATATGCAAAAGGCGGCAAAGGATGATTCAAAAACAAAACCATACACTATAAGAAAAAATATCCAGCGGCCAGTTCATTTTTGCCTACTTTTGACTTTGAGTGGGTAGAAACGAATTGTCAGTTCCATACTAATTGAAAACAATCAAATAAAAACTCTTCGACCCAAATTACCTACTTTTGGCCTCGCTTTTGGCTTCCTACAATATAGTGCCGAGATTTGTGAAATTAAGTCATTTTGGGATCTTTTTTCTTACCGTGTACCTGGAGGTTTGAGCTCTAAAATCACTTTTGGACAGGTCGTATGTAACCAAAGTGTGATGTTGAATCAATTAACTTCTATGATGACTTGACATGTTGGTCTTGGAGGCTAGGCGCAAAATTGTTTTCTGTATAGGAAGGGGTGTCCTGGGAGGTGGTATGTCGATAATATTGACAAATTGAATGGAAATGTAGTGATAGTCTCTGTTACACATTCGACCTAATAATAACGAACTCTAGCAGCTATGTTTACGGTAGTTGCGGTAGTGTATGATGTACACTCACACTACTACAGCATCAATGATAATCAATTCACTGACACATAGAAAGGAGAGAAAAAAAAGCAAAAAAAGCGTGACGTATCGTATCACCTTAAGGCTATATTTTTTCAGCCCTGTGAATGACTGATTTTTTTTAAAAAGCAGCTGCTTGAAAACTTAATTTCACATGATACATTCATATTAAAAAAGGCATAATGCAAAATTGAAGAATTTAAGTAGTTATTTGAAATATCTAGGGTGCTTATATTGGGCCTCCCTTAGCTCAGTCGGTAAAGGCGCAGCTACAAAGCAAGACCATGCTGAAGGCGGCTGGGTTCGAATCCTGGTCCGGTCTAGGAGTTTTTCGGGTTGGAAACTTTCTCGACTTCCCTGGGCTTTTAGAGTATAATTGTACTTGCCATACAATTATACTAATGCAAAATGGTACCTGGCATCGAAATCTCTCAATTAATAACTGTGGAAGTGCATCTAGAACACTAAGTTGAGAGCACGCAATAAGCTAATATGCGATAAGCAATAAGCTTGAAATGCGAAAAAGAAGAAGAAGATATTGCCCCGAATGTGCTTAAGTAATATTTTGTTAAGAAAAACTGTAATATTAATTGACAGCTAGAAAAAACATCATATCATATAAGAAACCAATGACCATTTATATAGCTGCTGAAGGAATATGAACGATAAATTATAAGAAACTACTGATATACCTTATTTTCTGACTCTGAAATCTTATAACAAATTTTACATTTTGAGCTAGTCTAACATTTTTCGAATATTCGCAGTAGAGAAAAACAATTTTTTTAACTAAAATGAAATTGATAGTTCAGGTAGGGTCTGGTGGGGCAAGAGTGCAACGTTAACAATAATTGTAAGTTCTATATATGTAAAATAGTGGATATTTATAGAAGTTTGTATACCGTATTGCAAGTTCATAACATCGACCTCATAAATCAGCAATGTAATGTAAATTAAATCTCGCCAAAAGTAGTTACCGTTTTTTTTTTTAATGTCATCTTAAATCTTTTTTTAAAACTGCACTGGGGCAAGAGTGCCAACTCCTATGAGGCAAAAGGGCCATGCGTCATAAATTCATTTTCATTTTCATTTTCATTTTATGATGTACAAGGGGGTCAGGGGCCATGTCACCGATGTGAATATTCACACCATCCATAATACACCAGGGAAGGGGAGAGGAGTGAGCAACACAGCATCTTTACCCATGGAGGTTAAAAAAATTTTTCGAGGTATACTTATGGTAAACCAGCTGCTCAGGGATTGTAGAAAGGAAAGGGTTGGGTAGGTTTTGTGTGAAAAGCGCATAAGTTATGATCGTATCGTTGAAAAATGGCCTCGTTTAGTTTGCGCTCTCGTCACATAGCGCATCGATTACATCACACCGTCAATGAAAAAGAAATTAAAAGAGATTGAAAGAGATTATTAGTGAGTTTTAAACTGTGATTTACCTATTAGAAATACATTTGTAAAATTGTCTACGTGTACTGAACAGCCATCCCTCTCGCCCACCCGCCGCCTAAACGTCTGAAGGAGTGTGACGTCAAACTCCGTCATCCATTTAATCAACCGGAGAACGAAAGAGCGTTCAATGAGCGTCAGCGACCCTAAAGGGTGGGGGGAGCACCATACATGAACGATATCACAAATCGTGCCACCATACCACATATTGTTGGGATGATAACCCGAATAGGTTGTTAGGCACTCCTTATGGTTATCGTTCATGCGGGTGTTTCAAAGCAATTTACATCTAATCAACTCTCTGTGCTACCCAACCCATGCAATGTATTTAATGTTGAGAGCCTTGTGTGCTTTATCATGAGTGGTCACGGATCTAGCAATCTTCACATGACTATGCGTCCCGGTGACGACGACTACGATCTAGCCGGTTTACAATAGGTGTTATACAAGAGTACTAGAATAGATCGGAGTATACTTCCAGTTTTCGATGTTCCCATGTACTCCCTGTTTACCTTTAATCCTACTTCCTTCTCTTGTTGTGTATTGTATTGTGTTTCTGGATATGCCACTTCTATCCTTCCTCTGACATAATGGATCCTCGCTCCGGAATATCTTCAAAACTGGGGGGATTAAAATCAGATGACCGAAAGAGCGCTCGGTCCGATTGGTCTCACCCGATATTCTTGAAATACTTGACATTTTGAATGAAACATTGCCATTTCCAGACTTCGTGCTGTTAGTTTTCTTGAAGGTCTTGTGCTTAATGCTTGATATGTCTTTCGCTTCGTATTTCTAAGAATTGACTCTATAAATAGATAAAAAAAAACAAGAACAAACACAACGCTTCCCACCCACAAGCTGTAGACCGAGTGCAGAATCTTTGTGATGATACTTTCCAAACGTGCATACCTATAGAAATAAATCCAATTCAATAAAGGATGGATTAAAAAAACAAATGATTTCCACTACGACTAAATCCAGCATTTCTACTAAAATATCAAATGCTGTGCTTAATCATTTATTATTATTAGTACAGAGCAATAAACAATGTACGGTGATGATTAGTCTGTTAATATGCTTTTATAAGCGGGTTCAAATGCACTTTTGGTAAGCATCAACACTGATCTGGCAACACTAGTGTGCATCTTTCCAATGTGGTAAAGATCCAGATCAGCCCTGGGACCTGGTAGCCTAATTAAACTACCTCAAGGTTTTGCCAAAGCCCAGGGAAAAGGGCCATGCGTCATAAATGAACTGAAATCGATTAATGCTTGTTCATAAACATGGCCTTTTGATTATTAATCATGCTAGCAACAGCTGTTATTGTTTACTCATTTGAACTATTGAATTTTACAATATTATTCAATGCATAGCAAATGAACCATGTTTACCAATGAAATCTAATGAAAAGTATTGTTGATGATATTTCATGTAGCTGGTTTTACCAAATTTGGTGAAAACAAGCTTACAGAGGATACAAATGCACAATGAAGCAATTTCTTTGACAATTTTGTATAATTTTATTAATAGACCAGCATGGTTTCAAGGCAGGGCGTCGACTACTTCCAACCTTCTGTGTCTCACCTCGTACATTACGGATAGTATGACAGACCATATGCAAACAGATGTCATCTACACTGATCTATCAGCCGCCTTCGACAAGTTGAACCATCCTATAGCGTCAAACCAACAATCAATACGAAACTAACGATTTTAAATTGGCTCACTACTTGAGTAGCCTATTGGTCCCAAGCAAACCGTTTAACGTACCCTATTCTAGTCAAAATTCTAGTACTACACAATGTTTGTTTTGATTCGCTATGAAAGTTTGACAGATAAAATGAGGGGTTATTGGATTTTCCTATGTTTCGAGGGGTGAATCGTTTAGCTTGGGACCGAAGATAGTACCAGAACTGAGCCAAAAAGTTGAGCACATTTCTTCGGGACCTTCTAGTCTTAGAGTTACCTCTATGGTCAAACTGGATAGGCTCGGTATAAACGGCAGTCTCCTAGGATGGTTCGCATCCTATCTATCTGATCGTCAGTTGGAAGTTGCAATCGACGACTGCCGATCTCCTTCGTTCCTTGCCACTTCGGGTATTCCGCAAGGTAGCCACCTCGGCCCGTTGATATTTCTTGTGTATTTCAATGACGTCAATTTAGTCCTCGACGGTCCACGACTGTAGTTCGCAGACGACATGTAAATCTATCTCCGAATCCGAGCCATCGCTGACTGCCACCTTCTCCAACTCCAACTCAACGGTTTTGCTAATTGGTGCCAACTGAACCGCATGGTTGTAAATCCAACAAAACGTTCAGTAATCACGTTCTCACGGAGGAAACATCCAATTACATTCAGTTATATCCTAGAAGAAGTTGACGTACCTACATCGTGTGAATCACATTAAGGATCTGGGAGTCATTTTAGTGATCGACAAGGCATCCAAAACGCTCGGCTTCATTTTCAGGATATCTAAAAGTTTCACGGACATCTACTGTTTGAAGTCGCTTTACTGCTCCCTCGTCCGGTCGGTGTTAGAATACTGCTGCCCTTTATGGAATCTCGATTACCAAAACAGTGTACAAAGAGTAGAGTCTATTCAACTACGATTCATCTGGGTTGCCCTTCGACGATTGCCTTGGAGGGTCCTCATCGCCTTCCAAGCTACGAAAGTCGGTGCCAGTTATTTCACCTGGATCCTTTGTGGAGTCGAACAAATACGACAAGGACCCTGTTTGTGGCAGACATTCTACAGGGCAGAATCGATTGTCCTTCTATTCTACAACAAATCGACGTTAACGTTCAACCACGAGAACTCCGTAACAACGCAATGCTGAGGATATCTGTATGGTGCTATCAATGGGCTACAAAGGGTTTTCAATCGTGTTACTTCCTTATTTGAATTTCACTTGGCACGCGAGACGCTGCGTCAGAGATATATTTTTAAGAATTAGGAATAAAGTTGGACTTCACGGCCTTTGCAGCTTGTTACTTCTTGACTATATTGTATTTCCTAGTATTGCTTAATCCATCATTAGGACTAAACCTAGTCTGTTGATGTAGAACCAAATAAACAAATAAACAATAAATGTGTGGGTGGCACCACCGACAGTGGCACTCTTGCCCCATGTGAGGTTCATTTTTTTTAAGAAGGTGAGCAATTATAGAAAATAATTAACTATTCCTTGCTTTCAAAGTGTTTTTATGTTAGTTCATACGCGAAGTTAACGATTTTCAGAGTTGGTTGGAAAGGCTAACATGAAGCTTTAGTGTGATGATTTATTAGCTAGAGAATGATCTTTAGAAGAGGGTAGGTGGATAGTTCCGTTAGAGTACGGCAGTATGAAAATTGAATAGAAGTTGAAAATGAGCGAAGGGCCATTAATGCGACAGTTTTTAAAGATAGACGCACAAACAATGCTGATGATGGTACAGCACGCAACAACCACCCTACTGCTTTCTCTCTGAGATGATCACGTTGGTCATGACGAGAGGAGCAACACAATATTCACAATTCGAAATGTAGACTAGCCTTTAGAATCATAAATGACACAAGCGCTGCATGGTAAGTGCATTCTTAGCTGAGAGGCTAATCATGCGATAAGTCTTGTCCATTCGAATAACTTCACTGAATACAGAAACCTGATTTCTGATCGTGCTATCAAGTTAAAACATGGAATTTGGATGCAAATTGCACACTGAACATTGCACCATTCAAAAGACCTCTTGCATCTGAATCACTTTTTTCTATACGAGATGTCAAGTTAAGCAAACAACTTGAAGCTAAATGGTACACTAACACTGCTTAGTGAGCGAATTCTGAACTGAGTTGTTTACCATCCAATAATTACTATTCATTTAAAGAACTTTTCCTAAGACACCTATTTAATAGAGAAGTCATGTTAAGCAAGTAATTTGAACTCAAATATCACACTAGTGCCACCTAGTAAGTGAATTCTATACTGGACTGAATCTTCCAATAGCTATTGTATCGGTTTCAAGCAATAATGTCACAACTCAAGTTAAAAAACGTCAAAAATATCACTTTTTTTTTCATTAATTGTAGATTCTGTGGATGATGTTTATCTATCTAAGCGAGTTTCATGTCAACACATTCCTACCCATTTCTTTTTTCACCAGGATTCGGACGTAGCGAGCGCTGAAATTGCCTAGTTTGAGATCACCAGTTTTTACATATTGAGTATGAATGCTAGTCCCAGCGTCTATTAGTTCTATTTGTAATTACAGCTGATCTCGCGATAACGGAGTAGCAAACCGCGGGCGGTCAATCATGCTCATGCTCGGCATTTTATTTTGCTGGGTCTCAGTAAAAAAAAATGCCGGGATTCAGCTAATAAACAAAAGTATTGCTGAGTTCTCAGTGAAAATAAATACCTACCTAGTAAGCGGTCCTAATCCCGGCAATACTCTAAGCGTCTGCAATGAAAATTCACCGTTGCAGAAGTTAACGCTGACATTACCGACAGTTAGCAATTAACAACCCTGATGCATTACATATAACGCACGGGTAAATGATCGTATTTTCGCCACAAGTTCCCCCCAAGCGTAATAAATCATTCCCATCTTAAAAAGCTGGGAAACGAGACTTTACAAGATAACTGTTTTCTGGGAAATTACGTACAGCACACAAAAACTTACGGATAATAATGCTGAGCCAACTGCTTGGAAAGATCTTCCAACCCTTCAGGTTCCAGTCCTACTTCTAGAACCTTTGCGATTTCCTTCGTTGTAATAAGTTCGATACTCGCTTCCTTGCCACCCTTCTTGATGCCCGCATTTCCACCGGGCATGCTGTCGTCATCCGAGTCTGAAACATTGCCCCGTTGTCCTCGGGTATGCTTTTTGGTGGATTTCGTTTTCGTCTCACGTCCCTGTGTACCACCACCACCCTTTCCCCCAGTAGCCTTCTTTCGACGTTCATCCCTCTTGTCGGCTTTCCCTTCCGCATTAACCGGTTCCCTATCAACCGGGTCCTGCTGTTTTATCATTCTCTCCGCCATGTATTGCTGATAGCTTCCACTATCAACAGATTTTTTCGCATGGTCATCAGCAATGTCGTAACAGGGCTTTATTATATCATCGATGAACTTGCTCGTCAAAATCGTGCTACCGAAAATAAGCGTTTGTTTTTGCATTGCTGGTGAAAGCACCATCGAAATCAGCTGTTCAATATCCTCGTCGCTCATGATTGAAGGCAAGATATTCGAGACGTCCAAATAAGTGTTCGACGATATACACTCATCCAATAAAGCAGAAACCTGATCTATGAGTTTCTCCCCAACGCTACACTTTTTTAAGTGCACAATTTTCGCTTCGGGCAACTGATTAGCAATGAAATTCTTCACATCGGAAACACCCAATCCAGCCACGGAGTCATGTTCCAAGTATCCATTCTGACGGTAAAAGTTCTGAACCCAATCGACTTGTGTCTTCCTATAAATATGCGGAATGTACTGAGCACCCGGCGATCTGGAAGTGACAATGCCAAGCATAGCTACTTCATTAACCAGCGAAAAGAATAATCTATCCGGGATGTTGCACTGAGCAAGAATAGCCGATACAGGAGTCGGTTTTGTAATTCCAGTCAAAGCACCACGCACTTTAGCCTTACTTCTGGTAACATACGACTGCGTGAAGAAGATATTTCCATTCGATGCATCCTGCTTTCCCATAATAATCTTGTTCAAATATTTCAACACGATGTTGTTCAAGATAAAATCCGCTGGCAAGTCGTACTGAATCGTGAGGTCCGCAACGTTTATCTCACCGGCTTGGGCTAACTTTTCATTGATCTCCATAGCCACTCGCTCGAAGTACGATACGTCCAAAAGCTGCCCGAGAACGAACTTAATGGTCCCATCTTCGATAACCACCTGCTCAGCGATTCGCTGCACTCGTTCGAAATTAACATTCAATGTTTTGGCCAGATCAACCAGGTTGACCCTACCTCCCTGTACAAACAGTTCATCCTTCACCTCTTGCGTCAGGTGCGCCTGGGTGAGGTACTCCTTGCCGTCGGTTGTGAAAATCACCTCCAGCAGGCCTTTCTCGATCAGTAAACTAACCACTTCTACGCAATTCCGCTCCGATAATCTGAAATCGGTAATGAAGAGATGAAACAAAATTATTTACAACTCGGCAGAGCGGCTAAGTGAAAGTCGCTATGCCACATCCATAAAGCTACAGGAAAACTTACCTTTGCAAGCTGGTGGACAGCTGTGCCTTCTGGAAATCGGCGGCCAGACGTTTTATTTCGTCCCAATCGGAAGTCATGGCTAGGTTTACACTGAAATCTATTAAACTTTTACAAATTTCTTGAGGAAATTGGGTGCAAATTTTGCAAAACAATCAGTAGTTCCACATCCACAAGAAAATGTCAACAAAAGAGACTGTCACCACAAAACTGAAAAAAAGCTGTTCCAATCGAGCAAAGCGGTGCATTTTGACGGTTCGATTGGAACAACTTTTGACAGACGTCCATACTTTTACTATTAGGGCTTTAATGGGAACTGGGTCGAAAAAACTGGGTACACGGAAAAACGAAACAACTCAAAATCGGGATAGAAATAAGTACTCCTCGACCATTAATGTTTTGAAAATAATTCTGTTCTCAATATTTAATGACTACACACTATTTTTATTTCGCTGGAAACCTTTGCTGGATTTTGCCGAGCTGGAAATCCAGCAATCCTCACACCAAATTTTGAATCAGCCTTCCAGCAAAACGAATTGCTGAACCGACACGGATACGAATTTTGTTCATTTAAAACAGAAATTAAATGTTTATACTCTAAACATATGAATTATTCAAAGTAAATTGAAAGCATGTTTAAAATAAAAATATTTATGTTTGAATAAAATTCAAAGCATCAACAATATAAGATTTGAGTAAACGGTTTTAACGTGTCATGCCTTTTTATTTCCTTCTTGTTACATTCGGAAAAAGTTGCCCCAGCTTTGCTCAACCTCAACAGAAAACGGCCATTCATTCCGGATTCTCCTCCGACACCGAACATAGAAAGAAACCGGCATGAGGACCAGTGGCAGAAACCGAGGCAGAAACGGCAAAACGACGTTATTAACACAAATTTGCACCGGTTCCACTGAACTGGAACCCACGGACACCCACCCTGACGGGTCATCGCATCCCGGACCAGGACCCCAATACCCACAGCTCACCCTTAAGGCCCACACGCAATGTGGACGGAAGCGGAACGGAAACGGAAAGTTTGACAGTTGTCACAAATGACATCAAGAAGCCTAACCGATGTCGATTTGGATCTAACTAGTTTTCAATCCGACAAGTAGGCTTACTCAGATCGGGCTTTTCCCCTGCCGTTCCGCTTCCGCTGCCGTTCCGCTTCCGCTGCCATTCCGCTTCCGCTGCCGTTCCGCTTCCGCTGTCATTGCGCTTGGGCCTTTAATCGCACCCGAAAAAGAGCAGGAATTAAGAAGCCCTGCCCGAAGATCTTTTTTTTCATTTCTTTGCAAACCGTTTTATTTTGCTTTACCCTGCAGGTGCATGCACTCAACTACACTGAAACAAAGACCATAGTTAGAAATACTATTTTGCAGAAAACACTTATTTTCGGTATAACTACGCTTAATGCGGTTAAATTTACCATGATTGACTATAAATGTAAACAAAGTTAATACCATTCTGTCAAAACTACTATGCTTACTCAAACGGCATAGTAGTTTTGATAGAAAAAATAGTAAAATTAAATGAATTTCGTTTCTGCACAAATCTATTGGTGGGAGTATTTAATTTAAACCATCAATATAGTAATTTCGCCTATGGATTTTGTTTCTGTGTACTAAAATAATTTCAAATATGTATGTTTATTTTAAACATGAGAAGCATGTTTAAAATAAACATATTTATTATTGTTCGCATAGCTGTCAAACCAAACAAAAATAAATACGTTTATTTTCAACACGAATATTTTTGAAATAAACGTAACATTATTTTTGTTTTAAACATTGATTTCACATGACTTCAAACATGGAATACGTTTGAAATCAACCTAATTTATGTTTATGTTTACCTCAAATATTTTTGTTTCGACCATACACAGCAAAAAAAGCTGTTGAATATTACATCGAAACTGCTGCAACCAGGTCAATCCATCAGTTGTGTAATATCACATTGTACGATGTACATCGATTTTGCGAACAAAATTACATCCATTGATGTAATATTGCATCTGCTTTTCACTATTACATCATTATTTCATACATCAGCTTGAATTACGTTGATCGGTATTACATTTTTTTTTGCTGTGTAGTTTTTTCTGCGTGTATGATGCTACGGTGGTCAGCTTTACGGAATTCATAAGAAACCGTAGCAGGATAGTCGTCGAAATCACGCACTAGTTTGTCCTCAACAGTGACAATTAGAGGAGGGTGATGTGGAACTAGCTTGTAAGTGCACAAGGAGCCGAGGAAATTGATTGAGCCCTGATTGAGCGACAAACCGACATGAATGACTATAGAAATTTCTGCTCAAACCACACTACTGACATCTGTCTCCGTGTTCGCGGAAAACGTTTATCTAATGTCGTTTTCGTTTTTACTACACTATACCGGTGCAGTGTAAGCAGCAATAAGTGCGAGTCATTGACAGTTCATCATCATTTGTTTGTAAACAAAGGTGCAACCGATAGCTACACCCTACATTTTTTCGGTGTTCGGCAGTGTAGCCATAGTGTAGCACCGGTGTAGCTACACCGCAACAACGAAAACGACATAAGCCACGATCACGCGTACAAAATTAAAAAAGTATGTTCGTGTGTGATCCATAGAGATTAGTGACGTTTAACGCACGCACATTAGCGGGAGCAACGCCGTGTAAAGTTGTTTATTATTTTCCTCTGGGTAACCTAAAAAATGTATGAAAGTAGATCTGTCAAAATGAGTTTGACATCGATTTGTTATGTATTTTCCTCGGATATTCACTAACACGCTCTCACATATCGCACCAATACAACCGGACGTGAAAATCTCTATAATAAACAAATTATTTTTATCTAGATAAAAATATCTTGATTTTAACAGATTGGATCGCAGCACATTTGAATCGACCTAAGAGATGAACTAGCCTATGGCTAAAAATCTCTATAATAAAGAAAAAAATAAAAAAAAAATAAAAAAATTGAATCGACCGTTATAGATTTTGGAGCAAAAGTTATGTTTAATGTTTCATGTCGGTTTGTCGGTAGTTAAGGATGCTTAAGATGCAGCAACGAGGCAGGGAAGAATGGTATCGGAGCGGAACTTATTAAAATCACGATTAATATGGGCCCGGATAAGTTGGCTACTGACGATAGGCAGGATCTGAGATACAGAACAGCTACCGGAGGAGTGGATAGAGGGATTAATTACATCCGGACAGCACTCGATTTTTTTAGTAGCTACTGGTTTACCACCAGCACTACCTGCATAAACTCTACAGATCGTAGCGAAGCGAAATTCTCATACAAAATTCTACATTTTTCACCTGCATGAAAAACGCAATTGGCAAATATTTCACTTCGCTTTGAACTGTATATACAGATAGGTACGATCCAGCAAAATTTTATGATTTTTCGCGTGCTTCAAATTTTGTTTCACTTCGATCTGTGGCTGATGAAAAATGTATAGTATTTGTATGATATTTTCACTTCACTTCGATCTCTTTACAGTAGATGAAATCGGGTAAAACCGAGGGTAAAACTACTTCATCTGTAATGAAAATGAAAATTACTGGCGAGTGTCACCTGATTTACGCAGTTGATTTTCGATTATTTCGTCGGCACCAGTCAATTATTTATGGACAGCTTTCAATCGGTCTGTTCCCGTACTTTAAGATTCTGTATAGAGATTAGTGACGTTTAACGCACGCACACTAGCGGGAGCAACGCCGTGTAAAGTTGTTTATTATTTTCCTCTGGCTAACCTAAACAATGTATGAAAGTAGATCTGTCAAAATGAGTTTGACATCGATTTGTTATGTATTTTCCTCGGATATTCACTAACACGCTCTCACATATCGCACCAACACAACCGGACGTGAAAATCTCTATACAGCAAAAGCATGTTCTAGTACTTGCTGCACCATGATGCAGCAACCTAAGCAAAAGCAAGTACGGGAACAGACCTAATAGCTATTCTGCCGCTATCCGCAGAACAGTCCCATGTCCTATGGATTCTATGTTTAAATGTCATTGGCTGTATACAGCATTTCATTTGACGAAAAGAGATGAATCAAGGATGAATTTGCAATAGGACGTATCTGATTTTGTAAACATAGATTCAAACGTCAAATTGTTATCGAATCTTTTAACTTGCATGGGCAGGTAGTTTATAGTTTCTACAACATGATAGTAGCATTAGTTTACGTGGGCGAGCTAAAAGATTCGACAAATTCACTTTGCAAAACATTGGCCAAGAATAATGGCCACGAATATTAAACTCCATTTGCTTTGGGTGTCTACAATATATACTTTATTAGGTATGTCTATGTTCAGAATGTATTGCGTTTACACACTATCCGGCGACCATCGATGAGAAACTTTGCTGATTAGTTAATTTTCTGAATATGGTTTCCAAACACAACTAACACTACTTTGAGTAAGTTGCACGCTTTTTATGTTTTAACTCCATGAATATGTAGGTTTTTTTTAGTCTGACCCTATTAGAATAATTTTGAAAGGTCTGTCTAAAGTTTGATTTCTAATGCCATAGCCCAGAGCGTTATTTCATGAGTATATCAATTTTAAAGTTGCGGTTTCATAAAATTTCAACAGGTAGCTGCTTATATTCGAATTACACCAACTTTCATGCCATAATCTATTCTCAAAGAGCTTCACTCCGGTACCATCGCGCAATTTCTAGTTCAACAGAGAAAGACAATACTTTTCACAACGCCATACTACAAACTACTTAAATGCTACGCCTTAAATCATTTCTACGTGTTTCAAAATAAATTTGTAGTTGAATAAAAGCCTGTCCGCGAGTCGATAATCATTTTTTCTTCTTCTTAGTTTCCTTGTCCGCTGCTCAACAACGTTAATTGGACGCAATTCAAGAGCCACTGGAATTGGCTTTCTTTTCGGCAGCGGTTGTCGGTCCCGCTCATAACTTCCGGAGATCCAGAACAAACACACTGCCGTCACTGGCACTGGCGCCAACCTTACTGCCCCGGGAGTTCCAACATACTTCGAAGATGCCACCGGTACCCTTGTAGCTATGCACTAACTGACCACTCTGTGTGCTCCAGATGTGAACACATTTGTCAAAACTACCGGACGCGAGGAACTTTCCGTCCGGACTAAATGCCACCGAATAGACCGGTTCGGTGTGCTTCGTCAGCGTGTGGATGCATTGACCCCGTTCTACGTCCCAGAGACGTACGGTGGAGTCAAAAGATGCGCTGGCCAATATTAGGTTCATGTTGGGGTTATTGGTACCGGTACCGGTTGGCGACCATTTGATAGTGTAGATCTCCTTCGAATGAGCCTGAAATGGGAATCCGAATGGCGTTTAGCAGAGTTGTCAGAAATGTCTAGATTGATTAATATTACCTGTAGATCGTGAACACATGTATCCTGTTTCATGGACCAAATCTTTAACGTCATATCATCCGAACATGATGCTAGCAGCTGCCCTTGAGGATCCCATTTGATAGCATTGACTTCGTTCTGCAAAAATAATGAGATTACATTGAGAACTCCGTTTCAAAACGTCCCTAGCATAAACTATTTACCGTGTGCCCTTGGAATGATTTAATTGGCTTATCAACACCCAACTTGCATACGTGAATGCACTGATCCGTACTGCAACTGGCAAACGATTGATTTGATTGCCAGTCGACATCCAAGGCGGGAGCCGAATGGAAACTGAACTGCTGCGTACATTGTCCAGTGGCCGCATCCCAAATGATAGTAGTTTTATCGACACCGGCCGAAAGAATGTAATTTCCCCGTTTGTTCCACTTTAGCGCAAAAATCGGACCTTTGTGCTGTCCTAAAGTGCTCGCAAGTAAACCATCCGTGCGCCAGATTCGAGCATACCCATCATATGATCCCGTAGCCAAAAGAGTTCCGTCACAATTCCAATCCAGGGAGGTGACGTCTTTGTTGCTTGGCACTTCAGTCCCCCCTTTTTGAATACAGTGCCTCAGGACCAGTTGATTCGGATTAGTCGAGTTGTCAGACATGTCCCAAATACGGGCAGTACTGTCACCGGATCCACTGGCCAGTAGATCCGTACTTGGGTTCCAAGCGCAGATAAATACTTCACTTTCATGTCCTCGGAGAACTGTTGCCTTTGAGGCCGGAATCTCGATGCTCTGATCCACCTCCATGCTATCGGCCGGAGCCGGCGTTGACGCAGAGGTAGTCGTCGTCGTCGTCGTAGAAGTGGTCGTTTGAGCCACCGAAGTTTCTTCCGTAGTACTGCTGCTGGTTGTACCATTGGTTTCGACTGCCTCAGTCTTAATCGTTTGCTTCTGTTGATTCTGCAAATTCTGCCTGATGGCAACCACCTCCGGCATCACGGCATCGATCAGACTCAAACTCTCTACTAAACGCTGCTCGGTTCCATCCTCACCAATGCTTATCTCTGCCTCCGTATATTGGAGACCCTTTTGCAGGATACTAAGCAGAGCCGCTGGTGGCACCAATGCTCCATTGATGTTACTCTGAGAAATGTGTGATTCAATACCAAATGTGTACGCTGAGTGTGAAAAACCTGCAACCAAAATACATCCGTTAGAAGTCAACCTACGCCCCAATGTACCCTATAACCACCATATTTCCGGGTTCCCTTTACAATCCTTATCCACTCTTATCAACTAATATTGCGCTTGCTATTGAAAATTTCCGGAGTGCTCCCCCACAATAAGAAAACTAACCTGACTCTTGAAGGTAGCGGTAAACAAGAAAATTCACTTCATCACTCGAGAAGCTCATTTCGCCGTCGTCTCTGTTGCTTCGGCTTCTGCTGTTATCGTTCTAGGTACTTTTTGCTTGCGATTTTCACTGCAATTTTAAACTCAACGCATCAAACAAACACTGCATGCACTAATGGAGGATTTGCACCAGCAATTTTCCACAAAAAAGCCCACTTTTTCACCGTTTTTACATTTAAAAATTAGTAAACTTGTTCGGAAAATTAATGGGTGTTTTGCTTTTTTGCTTCGTTCTGTGCAGAGGTATAGCTTTTTTTGACAAGAATGCTAATTATCGCACAAACACACTCGCAAAAAAGCGAAACGCAATCCTGTGCGTTTGACGATAACCGGGACGCAAACCAAAACATTGACGACATGGGCGATTTTTGGTATTAAAGGGAAATTTTACGGGTTGTTTAGGGTAGAGTCGGTGTATAATGAGTCACGCCAAGAGTGAAGCCAAGTCTACCTATTGAACTGTCAAACCGGCTACCTATCGTGCAAAATAAATAAACATTACGATGCTATGAAAGGTCCACGAAAGGTATTGCAATAAAATATAAAATATAATCGAAGAAATGAGCATAAACACGCAATGAGCGTTAAATTGTCATGGGATACGCTCGGTAATGATTAGTAATAAGAATTTCTACTATTTTTTGTTAAGATAATTTGACAAAATCACTGATATAATGATTTACTACAGCCGCAATATTTTTTCTCTCGCTAGAAGTCATTTGAAGTTGTTGTAGAAGTCCTCTGTTGCCAAGTGAAAAGAATGGGAATCTTCCGAAAACCGTGATGCGAGTTCAACTGTTTTTCTCTTGGCGTGACTCATTATACACCGACTCTAGTTTAGGGTAGAGTCGGTGTATAATGAGTCACGCCAAGAGAAAAACAGTTGAACTCGCATCACGGTTTTCGGAAGATTCCCATTCTTTTCACTTGGCAACAGAGGACTTCTACAACAACTTCAAATGAGTTCTAGCGAGAGAAAAAATATTGCGGCTGTAGTAAATCATTATATCAGTGATTTTGTCAAATTATCTTAACAAAAAATAGTAGAAATTCTTATTACTAATCATTACCGAGCGTATCCCATGACAATTTAACGCTCACTGCGTGTTTATGCTCATTTCTTCGATTATATTTTATATTTTATTGCAATACCTTTCGTGGACCTTTCATAGCATCGTAATGTTTATTTATGTTCAATAGGTAGACTTGGCTTCACTCTTGGCGTGACTCATTATACACCGACTCTAGTTTAGGGGTACACAGAAAAAAAAGTTGTGGAATATTACATCCAAACTGCTGCAACCAGGTCAATCCATCGGTTGTGTAATATAACGTTGGACGATGTACATCGATTTTGCGAACAAAATTACATCCATTGATGTAATATTGTATCTGCTTTTTGCTATTACATAATTATTTCATACATCAGCTTGAATTACATTGATCGATATTACATTTTTTTTTGCCTCGCGTGCTGCGTACGTTAAGCGTCACTCGAGGCGTCACTAATCTCTATTGAGGTAAATACATATTCGTTATCTGCATTGCACACCAAATTTTGTACCGAAAGCTTGGCAAAATGTATCGTTTTACAAACTTTCAGCAATAAATAAAAATTACTGATCTAAACTGTAAATGGCTGCAATTCTCGAGGCAATTCTATAATACTGTAAAAAAAAGTGGCGAACGTTCTGTAAAAATAGTCTTTTACAAAAACAAACGGTAGTAAAGTACCAGATTCCTGTAAATATTACGGAACAGATTTGTAAATGTCATACGGTCAAAAACATCCTTTGCCGTTTTTCGAAGTGGAGTGTTGTTTGGAAAAGTTAGTATTTTGCTATAGATATTTTTGACGTATAATCGGCGCACACTAATGCACCATTTACACTGAAGGAGTGTGAGTAAGAGAGAAACAGATTAGTGGGAAAACAAACTATCCATTTATCCCTGTGTGCTGGATAGAGAAAGACGATTAAATGTCAAAAAGGTCTATAGTCCGCTGAATATATGGAGCGGGGAATTATTTTACTTTCAATTCGATCCTAGGTCATCGCTTCCAGTCATCTTGGACTTAAGGTGACCTGATGTTTCCCTCAAACATGTTGCGTTGATAACCTGGTATGGATTCCCTGCTGGTCCTGGACCTGAAGAATCCTTTTCTTGGCGTCGCAAATTTTTATGTGTTACGTAAAACCACAGACAAACAGACGTAACTCTTCATTGTGTATCTTAGTTCACGTATTTAACGGTTGATTTGAATATTATCAGTTCCGCGAACTACTCGCCGCAGCGCTGGCATCGGATCACTTTGACGTTTCTATACATTCTACAGAACTTTTATGCAATATTGTTTGCGAGTTAGCGAGCAAGCTTGTTTTCCATGAGAAGCCAGAGAGATGTCGTTACTGAGGACCTACACGAAACGAAAATCAATTATTTAATTCATGTGTTTCACTTATTCATTTTTGCCAAAGCATCAGCCTTATACATTTCATAAGACAAACCACATAGGTCCTATTAGAATGTATAAAAGGTATGTGTGACCGCTTATACATTTCATTTGACACATGATCTTTATTAACTTTTTGCAAGGCGTCTGCTTATTAGTTGACTTATACAATTTATGAATAATCAGCAATGGAAATTTGCTAAAAGGTATAAGGAGATTTCTATCCGTGTATGTTTTGAGTGTATGTTTTGAGATACTATTGGCGTCTTGCAGTGAAACTTTTCCAAGCTTTCGTTACCTACATTTCGAAGTGAGAACTACTAGAAGGAGGATGATGTGATGAACTAGCCTACGGCTAAAAATCACAAAAAAAAAGAAAAAAAAAAAAAAAAAAAAAAAAAAAAGAAGGAGGATAGTTTCCAAATTTTCCAAGTAAAACAGACGCTTTTTGGGGCAAATCGGTCCATAAAGAAAAACTAATAATTTCGCGTGGAAACTTTTGCTTGAAACGTGTAAGAAAACGTGTTTGAAAACTATTTGTTATTATTTCGGTATGGATCGGAGATGTTTTCATGGCAAATGCATAATGCATAATAAGTTTGCACCCACAGGAAAACCCTAATAAAAATGTTATGGTTATTTTGCTTAACGACGTGTTCTGGGTATCATCCAAACCATTTGTGGAATAGTTCCATCATTTGGGTTATCGTTCGTTTATGGTAATTTTTTATTAGGGAAGGTTACCTCCTGCGCAGCTGCATTTTTCAGAAAATGGTATATATGTGCGATTTTCACTAAGATGAAAGTGGAAATTAAGCGAATTTACTTAGGAAAGGTTGTATCATGCTGATGGTAATAGAGAATTGGTTGTATAGGACGCCAATATTCAATAAATGTTCATTTTGGCCTTTTTTAAGCAAACATATTGATACTCACAAGTTTCGACGGAAAACGCACCGGAACTTGATTTACTCAACACGCACCATACTATAAAATGGTGCTAGATGGTCTTCAAAGTGATAACAAGATGACAAATCATCTTTATTTTGAGTAATTGAGCAATTTACTTCTGTTTACCATCATATTTACGATGCAGCATTGATGGAGCCATGAAATGAAATGAATATATCCTATGAAAGTTCACCTGGAAAAGTCAAAGATGCACATCAGTCTGATCGTAAAAACGTTTTCTTCTTCAATTCGAATGTTATATTGGAAGTATTTCACGCAGGCTTGATGAAAATTATGATTTAATGCCAATTTTCACGAATTTTATATTCAGTATGTCAACATTATCATCATCATGCAGTGGCGACATCTGCGTTGAGCTTTTGCGGCAATCTTCCAATGTTTTCAAGAAAAACTTTTTCAAAGTGTTACGTCTGTTTGTCTGTGATAAAACGTTTGCTGTGTTGTTGCTGTTTCCCTGTTAACCAGGGAAAATACAATAAAATATATGTTAATGGAACAAACCGTTCGTTTATTATTGCTGCTTAAATTGCATTTTATATCAGGCCTACCCGCATAAATGCAAACCATTACTTTACCTTACCAAAAATGGTTAAAAATTGTTTATAATCCCTGCTAAACTTTAACTGAAATGGTTATGGAACTTTACATGAACGTTTGTGTGATAAAGTTTTAACCTTATGTATTATGGTTTTTTGGAAGTGAACCTTACAAATAATGGGTTGTTAAGAACCATTACCATTTCAAGTTCTTGTTTTTTCATACATTTTTGGGAAAGGAATTATATTGGAACTATTTTATTTATGATTTGAGAACTTTAATGGTAATAGTTATGGTAGTCGGTAAGGTTCATAGCTTTTTTTTATATCTTTATTAAGGAGACTTTTAGGTTCATAGCTGGTTCTGTGACATCCATCAACTTTATGTGGAATATATCGCGAATTGGTTGCCTGTAAATTACTGATTACCAATTCGCGATATATTCCACGTAAGGTTGACCGATAATACTAAACTATTAATGGACCTTACTGGCTACCATAACCATTACCATTAAAGTTCTCAAATCATAAGTAAAAAGGTTTTAATATAGTCCTATCTCCGAAAATGTATGAAGAAAACATCTATTTTGAAATGGTAATGGTTCTTAACAACCCATTATTTGTAAGGTTCACTTCCAAATAACCATAATACATAAGGTTAAAACTTTATCACACAAGCGTTCATGTAAAGTTCCATGACCATTTCAGTTAAAGTTTAGCAGGGATTATAAACCATTTTTAACCATTTTCGTTAATGTCAAGTTATGGTTCGCTTTTATGCGGGTAACATTTGATAACGGCACAAAAGCATTTGTTAAGGAGAAGCTCACCGGCCCAAAAATAAAAAAATATTTTCGGTACGTTTTTATTTTTCTAAAAATATTGGGAAAAATTATCAAAAATCCAAGAAAATCAGTTTCTTCCTTAGATTTTTGTCAAAAATTACATGCAAAAAAAAATTTCTATCCCATCATGAAAAAAATTGGACTCTCAGAAAAACCGAAAAGTTGATGAATTGTGGTTTTTTGAGTCCAACTTTATGCCATAATGACTTATAAAAAATGTTTTTGCACGTGAATTTTCTTTGAAAAATTAAAAAATATGTGATTTTCTTAGAATTTTGATATCTTTTTCCAATATTTTTAGAAAAATCAAAATGTAATTATTTTTTCGGAGCGGTGAGCTTCCCCTTAACAAACTTTCTAAGGCCCTTTACACACGAACCAAAGTACGCCCACGCCATCCAATACCATTTTCGGAAAGGTGATAGTTGCTGAACACTATTGTAAGGTTTACCAATCATTCAGTTTTATTCACAGTCCAGGCCAGTAACTTTTGACAGCTCAAGAGTTAAGACAAATTTACCGAATGAATTGTAAATCCAAAAAATTACCGAATCTATTACCGAATGTTCAGCTGTTTCAAATTCGGTAAAAAATTACAGTATACAACATGCACAAAAATCTTAGTGCGGTAGTTTGAAATGGTACGCTTGATGGTACGTGATTGTGACTTCGGACATATGGTCTGCATAACATGATTCTTGCTCATGATTCTTTCTAAAATCTGTAGATATCTAGTATCATGTAGAACAAAAAGTCCAATGTAACACTCATTGAGTATGTCATTGAGAAAAATCGTCCAATGTAACATGTCAGATGTACAACTTGACTTCAAAACGTCCTATTTTTTCTATATTGTAGTATGAAATTCAAAGTAAAATTGTGATTTTACCGTTTCTACTGGATATTCAACGAGAATTTTGACTGACTATTGTAAAAATAGTATTGTTTCTAAACAGTTAAAATAATAACGTAATATTTATTCTATCCAACTACAACTTCGATTTTCTCACATTGGTCTATTTGAAAAGTGACGCGAGAAATCTCTCTCCGAAAAATTTCCCTTCTTAAAAACGCACCCATTTGACAGCTGTCAACAAGAAACGCCAACCAGATCCACTTCCGTTTTCGACCTGTCGTCGGTGGCGTACGGCTCTGTCTCTTTTTGATAGTAGATTCCGTACTGTGCAGTGTTCTCCCCGAGCTAAGGTCAAGTTTTTGACGACTTGCACGGTTTTTCGTCACTAAAATGGCTCTCAACAAAGCTGAACTAGCCTGTGTGTACTCGGCGCTCATCCTCGTCGACGACGATGTCGCTGTTACCGTAAGTATTTCGAGAAAATTAAAATCAGTGTTGGCCATTTCCAAATGCTCGCATCATTCACGTATTCCGGAAGCGTGTTGACGAAAATTTGACACCATATTCGGTTCTCGATTGCATTCTTGGATAGCTAAACAAATTTTGAAATGTCCTTGCGATTCTGGATATATCTTTACTTGTACTTGTATCCAGAGCCTTCTCCTTCTGGATTTTTTTTTCCAACTTTAGGTTATGTTTGTTTATGTTGTGTTGAAAACATGGTTGTATGACTAATATTTGGCTTACTATTCACTTTATTCTTCGTAGGATGAGAAAATCTCGACCATCTTGAAGGCCGCCAACGTCGAAATCGAGCCATACTGGCCCGGTCTGTTCGCCAAGGCCCTCGAAGGCATCAACGTCAAGGACCTGATCACCAACATCGGATCCGGCGTTGGTTCCGGTGGTGCTGCTCCGGCTGCTGCTGCTGGTAGTGCCGCCCCGGCCGCTGTCGAAAAGAAGGAAGAGAAGAAGGAGGAAGAACCCGAGGAGTCCGATGACGACATGGGATTCGGTGAGTTTGAACACAGTGTTGTTTGGAAACTTTTCCAGGTTCTAATTAATTTCTCTCTTTTCGATTGCAGGTCTGTTCGGTTAGATCCTTCGCTCTCATCGGAATGCAGAAGGGAAAGCAGGCATATTATCCTGTGTTTGGTCCCCGTGGCATTTTCATTCATTCGTACAGTTTTAATGTACAAGTGTACAAATAAAAAAATAAGTTTCCACTACATTCGTTTGGAAGTTGCCTGAGATCTACGTGTACTTGGTATTCCGAAATTATCCTTTTAGCAGGCAGTTATTAATTGGTAAGAAGCTGGAAGTAGCCTTGTCTTACCCTAATAAAAATACCATAACGAACGATTACCCTAATGATTGAACTATTCCACAAATGGTTTGGATGATACACCGAACACGTCGTTAAGCAAATTTACCATAACATTTTCATTAGGGTACCTATTATGAAGAATATTATTAACGAATCATAAGTCGATGAAAATTATTCCATTAATACTTTTGCATTTTTTAGCTTCAAATAGTTTGTTACCTGATTCAGAAGTGAAGTGTAATTTATGCAATTCGGGACCTAAGTAAAGTAGTCAGTAAATGCCAAGAGATGAAAAGAGTATGCTCGAGGATTTCATTACCAATTATAGCCAAAATTTTCGCGATTTCTAACGCCGCCATTATTGCAATCAATGGTTCATTTGGGTCACATTAACCAAGAAGAGGAATCTATATGGCATTGGAGCTTGAGTAGGAGTCCGCTCTCATTAAGTGTAGGCCAGTCGCGCTTGAAAAATAACTATGCTCAAATGTAGGTACCTATCTATGCTGGAGTGATCGTAAACTGAATTGGCATCGATTTTCTCCTCTACGCAAAATGCAAGGTCATCACTATATTGAACAAAACAAGCCGGTATAACAATTTCAAAAACCAAATTTATGTATGCTCTCAAATCTCTGCAACGTGTTCGAGGCACCGCTCTCGAAAGTACTCGTGTCGCTTCCGTTGTTCGTTTCGATCGGCCGCAAAGTACTTGTTTAGTTTTGCACTTCCATAGGTAGCCTTTTGTTTTTCCTTCTCGTCGTCTTCCTCATCGAACTCCACGTCGTAGGCCTTCTTTTCCAATGCTTTCCCCGCAGTCGACCAGCTGAACCGCACCAGGCGTGGAAATCCGAACACCAAATCGAACGTCCTCAGGAAATTTTTAGTCGTCGGATCTCCTGGGTAGCCGCTTCCAAAGTCGATTCCCGATTCCAACCCCTCGCGGAATGTCCACACCTTCAAGGCATGATCTCTGCTCACTTTCGCGCAAATACTAGCTGCCGAAACGATGGGATACGTGCTATCAGCTTTTTTCGCAACCGTGATCTTAAATTTTGGAAATATCAGCTTCAGTTTGGCTTGGTACTTCTCCGGTGGGCCCACCGTATCCACATAAACCTCTGCAATATTAACTCCAGCGTCGATTGCCTTGTTTATGAGTCCGATGGCCGAGTCCATCGATACCTCGTTCAACGAGCGCTTCGTACGCCTCAGCATACTCATACAAATGTCGTTGGGAGAAATTACCTCAACGGCCCAGCCGATGCTCTCGGTGGCGTATTCTTTCTGATTCATTTCGTCAAAGATCAGATCACGCTTCTCCTCTGTCAGCTGCTTGGAATCGGCAAAACCCATCTTCTTTAGAACATCTTTCTTTCCAACGGGACAAAAGGCTATTCCGTACACCATCGGACCTGTAAAGCATATCATATATTATATCATTCTGTCACTCAACGCCGAATTCAATATGCATATGGGAACCTACCAAGTACTGGTCCCCGACCGGCTTCGTCAACTCCCAGCATACAAGGTTCATCCTGGCAGCTCTGCGGAATGTCCGAGATGTATGTGAAGTTCTTTCCATTGTCCTGGGAGCTGATGTACGGTCCAAGCGATTGTAGGCTGTCGATTTTGCAGCGTTTGGAGTTGGGTTCACCACCGTTGAGCGGATTTTCCAGTTTAGGTGAAGACATTGTCCAGGGGTCTGACAAATACTTGACCAGATTCAGAAAATTTAAAAACTCAATGAAAGCAAAGCAAATCGCTAATTTTCACGGTTTCACGAACCACAATTCAATGTAAACAACTGAGCGACTGAAAGTTCGCGCGTTTATTGGAATGTTTGATGAATGTCTAGATAGAGCTGGAATTAGGGCCAATGTCGCAATGGGCTTGAACTGAGAAAAATGAATCTGAAGTTTTGAACAAAAATAATTAAATATAATTTAAACTATAAGCCGATTTCTAGAAATGAACTGTTCCTAATTGTAACATTATTGGTTAGCATTATGGTGAGATAAATAAAAATATTATTATTTTTATTTACAGCTCGAAAAAAATGAAAATGTTGCATGCGCCGTTTTGATTTATAGTATCTTGTATCGCCCTGAGGTTATTCGCCTGGCTGCGTTCACAGAAGCTATTTCGCCCCATATGTTTCGCCTGCTAGTTTTTGACATTGTCTGTTTCGCCTCAATGTTTACGTTCTTTTTCCTGATGGTTTGTTACTATCGACCTTTTGCAGTTTGTTGGATTCTAGATAAATTCATGTGTTGGGGTGTTTTCGCTTATTTCGATCAGATTAACAATGTTTTCTTTTGATTACCAACCGGTAATTGCAAGGAGTGGTGAAAAGATTCAAATTATATCTTTCGCCTAGTATTCAGAAAATATGTCTGTTTCACCCCATCTATGTATATGGGAGGAAGCGGCCGTAAGAGCCAACTCAATTTGCAATAAAAAAAAAGTTGGTTTCGCCCTTATGTTTTTTGCGTTTTTTTAAGAATGTACATTATTTGTCCAAATTTTTTTAGTATCGTTTTGGAGCATTTTAATAGTAGTATAACGTGATGTATTAACCTCAGTTTGTTTACACTTGCGACATTCGCCCTTATTCCAGCTCTATCTAGAATTTATCATTCGTACACTGCACGGAAACCGCAAAATAGGCAAAAATGACTATAAAGGACTCAATTTTGACTATAAAGTATGCATATTCGGCTAAAACGGGACTACACCTAAAATGTGTGTATTTTTTACACTTTTTATGAGTATCTGTTACTCATAAATGCATACATTTTATTCATTTTTGTACTATAAATTACTCATGATTGTGTAAAATTTTAGTCATTTTATGAAGTTTGCATTCTCTCCCTTTATACCGACCTTTGCGTCGGTACGGAGAGTTGCGATTTAGCGTAATTTTTATACTATTTAGCTAGGGGCCAGACAGCTTTAAATCATGAGTAATTTTTAAGCAAATTTTGAGTAGCTCTGAGTTACTCGCGCTGCTCAATGATGAATATCGTTGTCAACATGTCAATATGCATCGCAGCAACTCAGGCTCTGAACCATTTGGGGGATTATTTTAACTTTTGGTCAAAATTTGACAGATGGAAAGTTATTGATTAACCCTGCTATCCGAGCGTGGTTACTTCTGACAGACAAGAAGTTAAATTTTGACAACTGTGGCTCGAAAACCGGTCGATCAACAGCACGGAGATTTTCGAACATAGAAAATAACTTTCGAAATGTCACTTTTAACCACGAGTTAAATTTAACTCGGCAAATGGTTCACAGCCTCAGTCAACGAGAGAAAAGTTTTGATCGAGTTATGTGTCACTCACCGGTGAAAGTTCAAAACAATTTTGTAATCTGTTGATACCTTGTCGTAATTTTCTTTTATTCTAGCGTATCAGTTGCATTGCTGGAATTTTGCATGACTTTAATTACTTTGGTCAGCCATGATTAAGAAACAAGTCGCTTCTACTAGAGTCGGTGTATAATGAGTCACGCCAAGAGAAAAACAGTTGAACTCGCATCACGGTTTTCGGAAGATTCCCATTCTTTTCACTTGGCAACAGAGGACTTCTACAACAACTTCAAATGACTTCTAGCGAGAGAAAAAATATTGCGGCTGTAGTAAATCATTATATCAGTGATTTTGTCAAATTATCTTAACAAAAAATAGTAGAAATTCTTATTACTAATCATTACCGAGCGTATCCCATGACAATTTAACGCTCATTGCGTGTTTATGCTCATTTCTTCGATTATATTTTATATTTTATTGCAATACCTTTCGTGGACCTTTCATAGCATCGTAATGTTTATTTATTTTGCACGATAGGTAGCCGGTTTGACAGTTCAATAGGTAGACTTGGCTTCACTCTTGGCGTGACTCATTATACACCGACTCTAGCTTCTACCATTTTTTTTTTCTTTGTTCGGGACATAACACTACTGCGACCAGTAATTTGATCTATTGTAGTATAGCCCGTGTCCTTAGTTTAGTGCATGTCGTATTACTCCATCACTATTGAGAAATGATGAAGTATTCGGTGTTGATACAGTTGTCATTCTTGCCTTCATCGCAAGGAATCGATTCTAAATGAAAGGTCCCGCTATTTATACCCTTCGGAGTGTTGGAATACCCTCCAAAGGCGCGCCCCTTTGTCAGTCGAAATGGGATTCCTTAGCAATAAAAATAAGCAATGACACCGATAATGACCATGCATCAGAACCCTAGTCTTAACCACTTCAAACTAGAAAACAATGAATAGAAGATTAGGAATCACATAGATGAAGACTAACTAACTCATTTTTTCCTTGTTTCAAGATCATCCTCGGTACAGGCAACCCGAGGACTTATCACTATCAACAAGGCATAAAAAGTAACAAGGACTAAGATGTGTTCCTTTGATTACTGAAAAATCCTGTACCCCTAGTTTGAAGTAGTCAAGACTAAGATTTGGTGGTAGATCTTACATCCCGTAACGTACCACGAAAAGGTGATCTACCCACGTTACGGGGCAAGCTTCTACCATAGAGTTATTCCAGACATCGCAGCTTGTCTTGTCAGTGGAAGCACAAACGAAGTGACAGACGGAGCGGCTCGAAAACTTTGGTGACTAACCTGCTATTTCAATTTTTCAGTGTACCTCACGGCAACACTATCTACTCATATGTACTAGCTTAAAGTATATAGTTGATGCTATTGGCCTTGACGGCGAATCTATAGCTCTTTACTCCTATGGTAAAATCCGTAAGCAAACGTCAGACTGTGCGTGAAATTTACTTTCAAAAACGAAGAGGTTCGCAAGTGGTGCTGGTGCTGAAGAGTATGAACTGCTGTTGGATGATCAGATTGATTTCGCCCAGGCACTCCGACTGGATGGAACTAAAGAAAAGGACCGGAAAGCACCGGTATCTGAGGCGGAAAGGAAGAAGATGGACATTGAGGAAACGAAGAAATCACTTCCAGTTTTTCCATTCAAGGAGGATCTCAGCCGCTATAAAAGAACACCAGATTCTTATTATCGAAGGAGAAACGGGTTCGGGAAAAACGACACAGATTCCACAGTATCTCTATGAAGCTGGGTTTACAAACGACGGCAAGAAGATTGGATGTACTCAGCCTCGTCGCGTGGCAGCGATGTCCGTGGCGGCACGTGTTGCACAGGAAATGGGCGTCAAGTTGGGCAACGAAGTTGGTTATAGTATTCGTTTAGAGGATTGCACATCCGAGCGGACTGTCATTAAATACATGACAGATGGTACGTTGCACAGGGAGTTTCTTTCGGAACCGGACCTAGCTTCGTATAGTGTGATGATTATCGATGAAGCTCACGAGCGTACGTTGCACACGGACATTCTGTTTGGATTGGTGAAGGACATTGCGCGGTTTCGGTTGGATTTGAAACTACTGATTTCCAGTGCCACGTTGGATGCGGAAAAGTTTTCGGATTTCTTCGATGATGCGAACATATTCCGTATTCCTGGTCGTCGTTTTCCGGTACGTAGTTAGATTTGACTTGCTTTGTGTTTTGCTGTAAAATCTAACTTTTTCTCTTCTAGGTTGATGTCTTCTACACCAAAGCACCGGAAGCAGATTATATCGATGCATGTGTGGTGTCGGTTCTACAGATTCATGCCACTCAGCCTCTTGGAGACATTCTTGTATTTTTAACTGGTAAGTGGGTCTATTTCTATGCGATGTTAAAAAATTACATTTTTTTTTCGTTCCAGGACAAGAGGAAATCGAAGCCTGCCAGGAGATGCTCCAGGATCGCGTCAAGCGGTTGGGTTCCAAACTCAAGGAACTACTCATCCTTCCCATTTATGCCAATCTGCCTTCGGTCATGCAGGCTAAAATTTTCGATCCAACTCCACCGAACGCCCGGAAAGTCGTACTGGCCACCAACATCGCCGAGACATCACTAACCATCGATAACATAATGTACGTGATCGATCCGGGCTTTGCAAAGCAAAATAATTTTAACTCCAGAACCGGGATGGAGACCCTGATGGTCGTGCCCATTTCGAAAGCGTCTGCCAATCAACGTGCAGGTCGAGCAGGGCGCGTTGCCCCTGGCAAGTGCTTTCGTCTGTACACAGCCTGGGCATACAAACACGAGCTGGAAGACAACACCGTCCCGGAAATTCAGCGCATAAACCTGGGCAATGCCGTGCTAATGCTCAAAGCTCTTGGAATCAACGATTTGCTTCATTTCGATTTCCTCGATCCTCCACCACATGAAACGTTGGTTTTGGCATTGGAGCAACTTTACGCCCTAGGGGCATTGAATCACCACGGTGAACTGACCAAACTTGGACGACGGATGGCGGAATTTCCGGTCGATCCCATGATGGCAAAAATGCTGCTTGCTAGTGAAAAGTACAAATGTTCCGAGGAGGTGGTGGCCATCGCTGCAATGCTATCGGTGAATGGAGCCATCTTCTACCGACCGAAAGATAAAATCATCCACGCAGATACGGCCCGGAAGAACTTCAACCACATGCACGGGGACCACTTGAGTTTGCTGCAGGTCTACAATCAATGGGCCGAATCGGACTACAGCACTCAGTGGTGTTACGAAAATTTCATTCAGTTCCGTTCGATGAAACGAGCTCGCGATGTCCGGGAGCAGCTGGTTGGGTTAATGCAGCGAGTCGAAATCGAAATGGTTTCCAGTCTGCCGGAAACGACCAACATCCGGAAGGCTATTACAGCCGGGTACTTTTATCACGTCGCTCGGCTTTCCAAGGGGGGGTCACTACAAAACGGCCAAGCACAATCAGACGGTGATGATCCATCCGAATTCGGCACTGTTCGAAGAAC